GAGAGAGAGAGAAAGAGAAAGAGAGACTTCTGTTTACAAATTTCATCAGAAACATTCTTTTTTTTTTTCAAATCACTTTCATTTCAGTTTGATGTTATCAGAAGTATTTATATCGCCCTCAGATAAAAAAACCAAAAACGTTTCCCTTTTAAATCAAGACATAGCGATGTTTTTTAAATCTCAACTCACAACAAAATTCAAGAGAAACAGGTCTTTTAAAAAAATGTGGGAGTGAGTGTTCTCTAAAAATATCACAAGACCTTATCTCTAGTAAAATCCAAAAAAAAACCTTTGATCTGGAAAAGGTTATAAGCCACTTCCTTATGAAATAAGAAAGTTCACTTTGAAAGAACAACGGAAATTTCTCTCATGAAAAGTTCAAGAGGAACTTCATTCCAAAAAGAAACAGAAGAGAATCAACAACTATTTATGACATACATATATATACATTCTTTAAAAGAGAAGATTCTCAAGCTTTCAAATTCAAGGAAAGTAATCTTGTATTTCCAAAAAGAATCTGAAGCAAAAACACAAAAGGCGAATCACAAATAGCAGATATGGCTAAATAAAAAAATTATCTACAACATTCTTTTTCTTTTTTAAATTAGAAACATATCTTTCTTAATTCAAGCAAAATTAGCAAAAGAGATCAGGCAAAATTTTAGGAACAAACCGACAAATCTCTTACTTTGTGAGGGGTACTAAACTCTGCCTGTGCCCAGATCGGCACGCCTTCTTTCCGAGATAAATCTGGACGGACTCAAAATGGTTCTGCACCATGGTCGAGAGTGCTGCACACTGCTCCGCACTCTCCTGTTAGCCGGGGAGGGAAATCACACGCAAGGCGAAGAGGAGAGAAGGAGACAAAAATTTGAGGGAAAAGGGAAAGAGAGAAAAAGGGAAACAGAGAAAAATTGTAGAAAAGGAACAACATCAGTCATTGAAGCAACCATCTGCTTCACACTTTGCCGCCTCATCTCGCTAATTGGCCATGTTTACCACCAAGTTTTTAGGAATTTTCACCACAATAAGATGGCAAAGTGTTAAATATCAAAACCATTGCAATCAAACAGACACATGCAGAGACAGAAAATAATTTCTTAGATTACAGCTGATGAAATTGATGGCCAACCGTTGTTGAGAAGAAAAATGATTTGTCTTAAACAAACGAATGTCTTGGATGGTATCAGTGCAGTAATTAGTTTTAGTAAGGTTTTACGGTGCTCGCAACTGCATACGGCCATATTAGCGCCAAGGGATGGATGTCAACAGAGAAGTCCAAACGGGGAATCAGGCTTACTCTGCTCACCTCTCTTGCCTCAACAGCACAAATTCTGCTTCGACTATCTAGGCACCCCGGAAATAGAGGTTTACAAGAGAGTGACAAACATATAAAAGAAGTAGAGAAAAAATGATGATAATAAGGATGAGGAAAGAAAAAGCAGCAGTTCCCCCTATGTTGTTTCGGCACAGTATGAGCATGACATTGATAAGTCAGCCCATTTACAATTCTACTGTGCATACGAACACATTAATATCCCCCCTTTGGGAATGGCCTAGAGATACTTCAGTCAGTAGCACTGCCTGGGGGGGGGGGGTGTCGGGGCAGTATCAGTGTAATAGAAGAAAAAAAACACAAGGAAAGTGGGATGCGATTGTTTCTACAGGTGACTGTCTTGAACAAAGGGCCATTAAAGCAAGTTCAACTGTATATGTATATCAAAGAGTATTTTGGCTCCAGTTTTGGTAAAATTTTAACAGACAGTTTGTTAAAAACCCAAAGCCTTCCATTAAATAACAATCTCTATCGGTGGAAATTATTAATCCGCCCGTATGTGAGAGGTGTAACTCTCATGAAATTGAAGATGAATTTCACTTTATTTTTTATTGTTCACACTTTGCCCATCAAAGGAAATTGTTAATCCCTCCCAGCCTGACTCGGCCCAGTGACAGAAATATGCAATGTTTGACCCATGATAAGAGATATGTGCACAACCTGTACTTATTCATTGTGGAAACTTTACTTATCAAATGAATGTTTTGTGTGATGTGATGTGGGCCAATGGCCTTAAACACTGAATAAACTTACTTACTTACTTACTTACTTACTTACTTACTTACTTACTTACTTACTTACTAATTGACAGTTGTGTTCTTCTTTACAAGAGCAAGTGACCAGAAAGGTGGAAAGAGTCTACATGAAACAATACCATAAAATTAGCCATGCGTTAGACATGACGCTTCCTTACGACTATCAGTCACGCCTTCTTTCTGCGTTAAAAAGCATAGAACTTCCCTTTATAGGACGGACCAATTTTGACCCATGAAAATGCCCCTGTGACAACTTAGACAGATTACCTAGATTTGGATTTTTCTCATTCAAATTTTTAAAAGAGTTATTTTAAGGTTTACCGGGATTTTGAAAGAGTTTTCATTAGGTTGGAAATGGTTTGGGGGGGGGGGGGGTGTTAAAGGTGCACAAACCAACATAACAGTGGATTAAGTCAGGTCACTTTCAAAACACAAGGTCAAAGTTAAGAACTTTTTTTTTTTTTTTACTGTGTTCAGAAAAATGGAAAATGCACATGAAGTACGGAAAAAGAAGATGATTAAAAACGATGAAAGAAACAAAGTCAAGGAAAGCATTCAGTTTCTCAAATTCAGAGGAAAGAATCCAAAAGCTCAATGCACAGAAAAAATGCTGGTAAAATCGTTGAAATATTGAAATATTTGGACAAAAAAAGAAAGCAATGAATAAAATTGAAAAGCATCACAGGCTAGTAGCTTAAAGGGGGAAAAAATAATACACTGCTATGTTGTACTGTAAAAAATATGATAAGGAATACTGTACATTATACTGTGAAATAATTATATACCTATATTTTAATTTTAGTAAGGTCTTACGGCACTCGAAACTGCATAAGGTCATATGAGCGCCAAGGGGTGGATGTCAACAGAGAAGTTTAAACAGGGAATCAGGCTTACTCTGCTCACCTCTCTAGCCTCAACAGCACAAAGTCTGCTTCGGCCATCAAGGCACCCCGGAAATAGCAGTTCCCAAGAGAGTGACAAACATACAAAAGCAGTAGAGAAAAAATGACGATAGTAAGGATGAGGAAAGAATAAGCAGCAGTTCCCCCTTTGTTGATCCGGCACAGTATGAGCATAACATTGATAAATCAGCCCATTTACAATTCTACTGTGCATAAGAACAGGTTAAGATCCCCCTTTTGGGAATGGCCTAAAGAAGACCTATATTTTTTCCGACCCTTAACTGTCAATCTTGCTAAAGGACTAGCGATACTGTGTCAAAGTCAAGGCATAAAAACCAGATACCTACCAGTATCTCACACTCTTTGAAGGCGCCATAGCCGTCTTTCCCCAGTGCAAGATACTCTTTGGTGGCCAAACGGTATTCCTGAAGATTTACAGACAATGTGAAAGTTTAGTTTTTGAGTTTTAGGAGAGTCTTTACGGCACTCCCAACTGCAGAAGGTCATATGAGCGCCAAGGGGTGGATGTCAACAGAGAAGTCCAAACAGGGAATCAGGCTTACTCTGCTCACCTCTCTAGTTTCAACAGCACAAAATCTGCTTCGACTATCAAGGCACCCCAGAAATAGCGGGTCACTAGAAAGTGACAAACATACAAAAGAAGTAGAGGAAAAATGACGATAGTAAGGATTAGAGGGGAAAAAAGCAGCAGTTCCCTGTATGCAGTTCATGCACAGTTATGACTCATGAGTTTGACATTGAAGAATCAGTCCATTTACAATTCTACTGTGCATAAGAACATGTTAATGTTCCCTGGGTGGTACAAGCTGATACTGATCAATGTTTTAGTTTTAGTAAGAGTTTTACGGCACTTGCAACACAAAAAGGTCATAAAGTGCTGAAGATTAGAGGTGTTACAAGAGAGAAACAAACACAAAAAAAGAAGGAGGGGAGATAAGGACGATAGAGGTTTGTTAGGAAAGAAGAAGCAAACCACACCAGAGCCCCCACCAACCACCCACTTACAGACCAATATAAAGTACTTTATCCACTAAGAAAACATAGTTTCAATAAGAATACATTACCTACAAAGATTCAACCAAGGGACATAACAAAAATTTCTTTATGTTGGCACTGATGCAAACTTGCTACATCCTCTCCACTAAGAAAAAAAATCAACAATGGGCTTCCTAAAAAAAAATCCACAATGGGCCTCTTTATTTCCACAAGCCAGACATTTTGTATACAAGAGAAGAGGTGACACAAAAGTTTTTAACTCATTGAAGACACAAATTCTGGTCATTCCAACGTCTGAAGAAGCTTAACTTCATTATCCATACATATTTTCTCATTATATTATCTTATTTTAGAGCCTTAAAAAATTTTTAAAAACAGGTAGACTATGAAATGTTCAATCTGGCGTTTCTGGTTTGTGTATGTAGGTTCAAAATGAGCTTCAACACTGCCTTTGTTCCGTTTCTGGTCAGACAAATGTGTCCGATACGGCCCTACAGAGTTAACAAAATTGTAACTGTGAGGCATCGCGATGAGATCAGGCGCTCGTTAAAATAATGAAATTAAAGAAACTGGCACTTTTCTGCAAGTTTGGCAATTTTTATTGAATTTTTGGTTTTTGGGTTTTACACCATTTTTGTCCAATAAAGAATAAATTTCTGGGTGGATTTTTACTGAAAAAACATTGATTATAGGCACAACAAGTGAGTTGTCATTTTCCACTGACTATCAAGCTATGGAAATAATCAAACTTTGGCGGCCATTTTATCGTTAATACTACCTTTGAAACCAGGCCATCCCACCTTTAATCTCAAATATCTTGACTTCTATTCAAGATAGATGGTCATTTTTTTCACTGATAGCAAGACAACTAAACAAGCTTAAAGATGATACCAATAACTCCACAGGCCCAAAAATTGACGAGCGCCCGATTCCATCAGGTCGTGACACAATCATCTCCCAGTTGCTTTAAAACCTCAAAATATCTATTCAATATAAGCTGCAGACAATAATGACTTTTTTAAACACAGATTTAAGGAGAAGCCTCCTGAAAACGTTATCTGGAAAGGAACAACTTTACATTACCCTCACCCCTTCTTCCCCTCCTAACGTACAAGGTCAAAAAAAAAAAAAAAAAAAAAAACTCAACGGCACATACATAGCAACTCCTTACTTTCTCGGGGTCGATATAGTGACCTTGAACTTGCACCAGTTCGTGAGCAACTCTCTGGCCCGGCGGGTGGGTGGGGTTGAAGCCAAACGCGATGCCTGCCACCTGCGGGAAACGCCCCTCTTTCACGGGGTACTTACTCACCCCATTCTCCAGAGCATTCAGGAGCTGTAACCCTGAAGTTGAAAAAAATAATGACTTGGGTCAAATATTTACACACACTGTTATTCTGAATTTAATTTAGAAAAAACATGATTTGCATCAAATATTCACATACGTTGTAATCCTGGATTTTTTTTTTTTTTTAATTTGAGCTAAATATTCACATATTCTATTCCTGAAGAGGAAAGTGGTCTCTTTTGTACAGATGATTGTCTTTGACAGATGGTCTTAAGGGCAAATTAAAACATAAAAATTATCATCCAGCGATTCAAACTCAGACCAACCCCCCCCCCCAAGGCAGTGCTACTGACTGAAGTGTCTTTAGGCCATTCCCAAGGGGGGGGATATTAACATATTCTTCTGCACAGTAAAATTGTACTTTATGGGCTGATTTACCCATATCGTGCCCATACTGTGCTGGAACAACATAGGGAGAACTGCTGCTTTTTCTTCCCTCATCCTTACTATCGTCCTTTTTTTTCTACCTCTTTTGTATGTTTGTCCCTCTCTTGTGATCCACTATTTCTGGGATGCCTAGATAGTCCAAGCAGACTTTGTGCTGTTGAGGCTAGAGAGGTGAGCAGAGAAAGCCCGATTATCTGTTTGGACTTCTTGTTGACATCCACCTCTTGGCGCTCATATTATGCCCTTATGCAGTTGCGAGCGCCATAAAAACCTTACTAAAACTAAATACTGATACCATCCAAGACATCCATTTGTTTAAGAAAATCATTTTTCCTGATTCTTCGTTTGGACTTCTCTGTTGACATCCACCCCTTGGCGTTCATATTACTACCTTAAGCAGTTGTGAGCGCTGTAAAAACCTTACTAAAACAAACAAACTCAGACCTGACACTTTGATGACCACCAGGGAATCCATCAACGGTAGAATGGTGAGCAGATCTCTGATGGTGAACTCTCCCTTGGGGTGGACCCGGTCGGACCGGAAGGTTCCGGAGTTGAGGAGAGCACAGTCAGACTTGGTGGCTGTTAGGATAATATCCGAGATGAAATTGCCTGAGGAAAAGAAAAAAGTATTATACATAATATTATGTTCGTGTTTCAGATAAATAATTTATTACATGAGTTGTGGTGGTAGATCATGATTTATCCTATGAGAGAAATTGCCAAGTTGTAATCACAAATTTCAACGAGTGATTACAACTGGCAACTTCACAAGTAGGATGAACCATGATCTGCCACCATAACGAGTGTAATAAATGTTTTATACCATACTGACATCAGCTGGCGTAATAGATCCGAACCAACAAAATTCAGATGACCAGTCAATTAATTGGACGAGAGGATCCATTCAAGAGACTTACATGAAAACAAAATTTTCACGCACATTGGAGTCAGAGTGGGGATTGGAGATGTTTAATAGGAAAGAAGGAGCAAACAGTACGAGAGCAACAGCCAGTTAACCACATAATGTCCTTGAGAAAAAACAATCACAAAAATAACAAAAGTAGGAACATTTAGTCACAAAATTTCTGGCAAACGGAGAAATGACATTCTCCACAATCTACTCACCAAGGTTTGTTTCCCCTGTGCGGATAGCTGAGAACCTGCCGTCCATCTCCACGTTCATCCAGCCAAGATATTCATCCATCTTTTCCTCCACACTCACTGAATGAGAGATGGACAAAAATGTGGGTCATAATGATCGGACAAGTCTGAAAAAGAGGCATCTTTAAGATACTTTCTACCCACAGAAAACATTTCAAGGACATAAGTCCACAGCATTACTACAGGCTTCACGAAAGATCCCACTTTTTGTTTTCTTTTCTTTTTTTCGGTAAATGTTTTACGGCGCTCGCAACTGCATACGGTCATATGAGTGCGCAGGACACACAAAACATTTTCAGTTGACAGGAAATTTTGAATTCTTAAAATATGACGGCAGACATACTGTAGTTTAAATAAATGCTGATGTCATGAATAATATAGTGTAAAGCGCATAGAGCCTGCTGTTGAGCGGGGATATGCGCTATACAAATGCTATCTATTATCATTATTAAATATAGGCTAAACACCCATCTCTTGTAGCAATCTTCAACTGCAGGATGTCCATCGACAAGTCACAAATTCACACTTCACGCGACAGCCTACTCTACTGCCCCTATCTAGCACCGTACGTTGACCAACTTACTCTGACAAGTGACAGTGCTCTTGCCCCTCGACTGCCACTCACGACACACGAGGCAGGTCTTCGACAGTCCATGGCTCACTCCTCAGCCTGCCGTTGTTCTCTTCTTCAAATTCAAATAGGTACTCGATTACTTTTCCTGAAATAAGCCAACAAATCACACTTACACACATACCTAGCCTCTCCTGCACGATGGCCCTCATGTCTGGATCTTCCGCAATGCTGGAGTCCAGGTCCACCTGTTCCACCTCCACCTCCCAGCCCTTGTTGTTGTTCTGGGTCAAGGTCACCTTGCTCATGTTGCGGAAGTCCGTGCCACTCTTGATGATGTATTTATTCTTCACCTAGGAGGTGCAAAAAAACAAAACAAAAAAAAACCACTTTACTTTACTTACTCTACTTTTCCGATCCAGCGGCCATTTGGGCTCTAGCCCCTTCGGCCGGAACAAAAATCACAAACAAAACATATGTGAGGTGGCGAGGTGACATCAGGCGCTCGTCAATTTTGGGACATATATGGAGTTATTGGTACCACCTTAAAGCCTGTTCATTTGCCTTGTTTTTGATGAAAAAATTATCCATATATCTTGGA